TGCAGGCCCAGGGAAGCCTTTTTTTTTTTTTTTTTTAGATCATCTGCATATTCTTTTCCCGAATTATACTGTATGATCTGTTTATCTGCCTCCTGACACCATGACTTAACTCTCAGAAGAAACACAGACTCTGGAGTCTTAGAGCAAACTCTTTTTCTTTCCTGCTTCTCTTCTGCTGAAACCACCACCAGCTCCTACCTGCCTCCCTCAATCCTTCTGGATTGTCAGCATTGGCATCTGTGGAAACAGCAGTAGAAATTAGGACTGACTCTTGCTTCAGTTTGAATTCGTGCTCCACAGTTTACTAGTTGCATATTCCTAAATGAATTTCTCAGGTCTGTTTCTTCTTCTGTAAGATGAAGTTGACACGTCTTAGGAGACTGTTTATGAAGGCCCTCTGCATATTCCATCATACACTCTCTACCCTGCTCACCCCTTCCACTGACATAGATGATCCCAAGCACATCTTGCTTCGACTCTGCATTCCCAGGCCACCATGAGCGTTCAGGCCCAGGTGTTTTTCAGAAGTGGTCACCCTGCCTCAATTCCTGTACCTCTGGACTCTCCATTGCCAGGGCATTATTTAAACTGATAGGGTTAGTGATCCTCCATTACTCCATTGGCTTCTTTGTTCTCAAGGATATTTCTTAATAGGATGTGTAGAATCTGTCTGAGTCCTCAGTTTCTCTCCTATTTCTTATACCCCATGTTCCTTTCCCTCAAGTCCATTCTGTAGCCTGCATTTCATAGGAATACTCTGAAGCCTCTGCAGTTTTCCTTGCCTTGTAAACCCCTCAACCCCCACCTCCACTATTTTGCATGTTCTTCAAAGTCTAGTTCAGGCAGTTTCCTTTCCACCTACAGAAAGTTGATTCCTTTCTATTATGCTCATAACTTCTAGCTTCATGATAATGTTCATGTCAAGGATTTAGGTGATTGCCCCTTAAGCATTTCTCCAAATTAGATTCCCTCACATGGACAGAATCTAGAAGAGTCACATGTCCCCATTGTACAAGCTCCTCTGGAACAAGCATACTTGCACAGATACTCACAGTCTGCTGTGAGTCACTAAGGTTCTTAGGACAGTGGACCCTTGAGATTCACATATTAATGTGTTCAACAAGATGTCTTCCTAGATATTGAATAACAGAATTTTTTAATGAGTCATAATAAATACAGTGAGACAAAGTTAATTTCCTTCGTTTTATATTAGAACATTAGCATAAGAATTGTTTTATCCCCAGCTGCTGCATTTAATCCTACTCAATTATCTCCCAACATAGGTTTGAGGAACATCCTACCTATCACAACAGCAAAAGTGCCAATTGTGAAGTTCTTCCATTTGAGAAGTGGTCTAGAAGTGGATATCAGTTTGTATAACACATTGGTAAGATTTTATAAGGGGTTGTCTGTCGCTTTCTTTTTTGAGGCTGAGTCTCAATAGGGAGCCCAAGTTGGCCTTGCATTTGACAAGTAGTGAACCTCCTGCTTTAGTCTCTCAAGGAGAAGATTTGAGACAGGGTTTCCTATAGCCAAGGCTAGCCTGGAACTCTGCGTGTACCTAGTAATCACCTTGAACTTCTTTCTGATCCTCCTGGCTCCACCCCTCAAGTGCTAAGACAAGCATGCACCACTGTGCTTGGCACTTCAGTCATAATAAGTGAAATGAGGGCTGGAAAGAGTGCTCAACCTAACAGCACCAGCTGCTCTTACAGAGGACCCAGGTTCAGTTCCCATACCCACATGGCCACTAACAACTGTCCATGATTCCAGTTCCAGGGGATCCATTCTGACGCCCTCTTCTGATCTCCGCAGAAGTTATACTACGCAGGTGCACTTACATACATGCAGGCATTACACTCATACACGTAGAATAAAAATAATAAAATTTTTTTTTAAAATAAGTGAATGTGGCATATTATTTGAGTGCTTGGTGTGTGCCTGGCAGTATTCTGAGGCTGGAGAAATGAGAGAATCCAGTAAATATTCATATCCACTTGGGCTAGGGATATAGCTCAATGATAAGGTGTTTGCTCAGTATTCCATCTCCAGTACCACACCAAAAGTAAATAGTATGTGCAACTGTACAATTTAAATATATACATATATATGTATATGTTAGTATTCAACTTAAAATGAGGTCAGAATGGCAGGCTTTTTTGTTTGGCTTAAATTTGGTTGTAATTTGGGGGTGAGAATATCTTTGGAACACCTACTCACTTGAATATGAGCACAGTCCAGTGCTCCTGCCTCTTTTGGTCTCACACTTTGTCTCACACCTTGCTGCCTCTGGGTCTTAAGAGAGCATTTTTTTAGAATGATGCCACAAGGACAAGGGGAGCCTTGTATCTACTTAAAGGAAGTTTCCTCCTCCTCCTCCTCCTCCTCCTCCTCCTCTTCCTCCTCTTCCTCCTTCTCTTCTGTTTTCTGAGGTAGGGTCTAAAGTTGCAGACAGTGACCTTGAATTCCTGATCCTCCTACCTCCACCTCTTAAGTGCTAGGATTACAGGTTCATGTCACTACTCCCAGCATGCTTGTTTTTTTTGATAGCTGTTTTGATTAAATTTTCACTGTGTTTTGATTAAAGTCAAATTAATGGAAGTCATGAAGTCAGAAGCTACATATATTCTGTTATCTCCTATTAACAAAGCTTATCTTGGGAAGAAAAAATTTCTAAAATGTGTCATAGTGTGAATGTTTTCAGAATATCCCAGTTTGAAATTGTTTTCATTTAACTGAAAGCCTTATAGAATAATTCCTTCTTGAACAGGCCCTCCATAACACAAGGCTTTTGTCTGCTTACTCGGCCATTGACCCCCGAGTGAAGTATCTGTGTTACACCATGAAGGTGTTTACAAAGGTGAGTTCTGGTTGGGATGGGTCAGGAGAACGGAATTTGATTCTTCAAATCGGTTTTAATTTGATGTGTATAAATGTATTGCCTGCATGTATGTAAGTGTACCTGTGTTGTGCATTGCCCATGGAAGTCAAAAGAGAGTGTCAATTCCCCTGGAACTCAAGGTACGGACAGTTGTTAGCCACCTTGTAGGTGCTGGGTCCTCTGCAAGAGCAGCCAGTGCTCTTAACCACCAACCATCTCTCCTCCACCTTCAAATCCTTTTCAAAAACAGGTATGAGCCTTCTCTTGCCACAGTGGGCAGTGTCAACCCTGAAAATATAAGTGTGATTTTTTGTTTTTGTTTTTGTTTTTTGTTTTTGTTTGTGAGCCAGTCATCAAGGCTTCCTTAACTGTTTGAAAAGCCTTGAAGCCTTAATTAAATACAAACAAAAATTTTATTGTCTATAATTTTTTTTTTTTTAATTTAAAGACAGAGTCTCTATGTAGCCCTGGCAAGCCTGGAACTCACTATGTAGTCCAGGCTGGCCTTTGAGTTTCACATGATAATCCTGCCTGCGACTAACAGTACACTACTTTGTCGAATTCAATTTGATTTAGGTTGTGTTGTTTGGTTTTGTTGGCATAGTTTAGCTTTTGAAAATGCGATTTTTACATCAGTTTTCCAAATAAGCCCCTTAGGGTTTTGCTGCAAGTGCAGTAGCAAACACTAGTGGTCTTTACCGTGTTCGGTTTCCTTCCCTGTAGATGTGTGACATTGGCGACGCATCGAGAGGCAGCTTGTCATCATATGCATACACTCTTATGGTGCTATATTTCCTTCAGCAGCGGAACCCACCAGTCATCCCTGTCCTTCAAGAGGTATTCAGAAAGGAAGCCATGCTTTTCTGTAAAGCTGGACTCTTCTGCCCTCTGCCTTTTCTAAAATGCTGTGATTCTGTAGTTAAATTTTTAACTACTTCCTAGACATTTTTCTATCTATGCATTAAGTTTTTATCCTATACTAATGGTTTAAAATGAATTTCAGATATACAAAGGTGAAAAGAAACCTGAGATACTTGTCGATGGCTGGAATATTTATTTCTTTGATCAAATAGATGAACTGGTACGTATTTTAAAAGTAAAGATTTAAAGATTTACCTGTGTTCTTGAACACAAATTAGTTATACTGTGCTGGTAGTATAGATGATCAATACATAGGTTATTGCCTGTTAACATTTATTGTATTATAATAAAAACTAGCATTTAAGGTGTTTCCTTTGAAGTAGCATTATTTTTATTAAGCTAGGTGAGTTTTAATGTATTATATCCAGTGGGGTTTTTTTATGTCTACTATTTCCAAATGGTTATGTAGCTTTATTCTAGGGGAATAAATTTTTGTTGTATATATTTTTTAATTGCAACTTTATAAAGACTGAGTTATAGAGACCTAGTGATTCTTAGGGTTTCTTTCCAGATTCTCCCCCCTGAGATCTATCACTGAAAACTCTGGCGTCTCTATCTCTAGGTTATAGGGTAGAGTTGGATGAGTTCATGTAAATGGTGTTTTTAAACGCGAAAGAAAAGTTAATTATGTTTTTATTTGTATAAACTAATTGATTAACAACAAGTAGAAATGTACTCTCTGGGGTAAAAGTGAATATTGCTGTGAACACTTTCTGATAGAACATCACATCCCTCTTTCCTTCTATTTCTAGCCTACCTGTTGGCCAGAATATGGGAGAAATACAGAATCTGTTGGGCAGCTGTGGTTGGGACTCCTTCGTTTCTACACAGAAGAATTTGATTTTAAAGAACATGTAATCAGCATTAGGAGAAAAAGTCTGCTTACAACTTTTAAGAAGCAGTGGACCTCAAAATACATTGTTATTGAAGGTACAAATGGAATCAAATGTAAAATTGAGGTGCTTTCCTAGGATGTGCAAGGCTTGCTTTCCAGAGGCATTAGGAAGTTGGATATCAGGTTTGAACTGTGAGCACTGTGTTTCCCCTCTTAACTTAGTTCTTACCCACAATATACAGTACAGCAGCCTTGTGGCCATCCACATGAGCTCGACTTGTCTGTTTCCAGCCAAAAGGCTTATTTCTAAATGACTAATGCATCCAGGTGGGGCCTTTCATGCGTCCAGATGCCTTTGTCCAAATTTTCCACTATGGTTGGACACATACTGGAGAATCAGGCAACTTTAAGATACTGGGAGTTAGGCTGGGCATGGTGGCGCACGCCTTTAATCCCAGCACTTGAGAGGCAGAGGCAGGTGGATCTCTGTGAGTTCAAAGCCAGACTGGTCTACATAGTGAGTTCCAGCACAGCTGGGGCTATAGGGAGACCCTGTCTCAAAAAGACAAAACAAAAACAAAAGATAGTGGGAGTAAAAATCTTTCTGAAAGTTGGAGAGGGCCACCAGGAGTGAATTTTTGGGACCTTTATTTACTATTAAGAAAGGAATTTACCTGTACTGTGTATCAATGTTGACCAAAAAGAAAAGTTTTTCCAGATTTCCATGGTGGCTCATAGTTGTAATTCTCGCAGTTGGCAGGTTAAGGCAGATGAATCAGAAGTTTATGATTGATTGTCCTTGGCTATATAGTGAGTTCTACGCCAGCATGAATTACAGGAAATTCTTTCCCCTAAACAAACAACAGTGAAAAGATCTTTCCTTTTCCACTAAGTACAAGAATCCGTTGGAGCCATCGAAGTTTATAGTTGGTTGATTCTAATTGGTAGGGATTTATTTTTTAAAAAGACAAAATAGAGTTTTAAATGCTAAAGAAATGGCTGAGGAAATATTTTATTGACCTTTATAGGATTCATTTTATTTTAATTTTAAAATATACTCATCATCTAAATGGTATGCAGTACTTATGCTTATTTCCTTATTTTTGTTATTATTTTGACAGTGTGCTATGTACATGCATTAAAATTCATACCACCCTGGGTTATAGATGGGGACCTACCTTGTACGAATCTTCTGTCAAAAGCAGAACTGGGAGGGAGTTCTTCTCATTATCATTTCTAATTTTTTTTTTCTTTGCTCAGCATACTGAGGAAACTTACATACTTTAAATGAGAAAAAGAAAGAAGAGAAAAAACAGTTGAGAGTGTGGTGGCCCACGTGTGTAATCCCAACAGCAGAGGCTAGCCTCAGACTCAAAACTAGTCTTCCTGCTTCAGCCTCCCAAGCACTGGGGTTACAGGTGTGCACCACCACTGCTGGCCTAGCAGTGGTACTTGTAACTACACAGTAGCTAATGTACAACTGGTGCCTTTTATAAGCCAAGCAAATGACCAAAATACCTGCACACACAAAATAAAAACAAGTAACACCACCAGAAGAAGAAAGCATGCTTAATCTGACTAGGAGGGTGACCTCAAAGCACTTATTATATGGGTAGACTAAGGCAAGGGTTCCAACTCTGAAACCTAATTCAGTGTGGAATGTCTCAGAAGAAGCAGAGCTGACAAGCATGATGGTGCCTCTGCACTGTACTATTCCTTTAAAAAAATTTTTTTTTAGATTTTTGTTTTTAATTATGCATATGTGTGTGTGTGTATATATATCTATACACATGAGTGCAGGTATCTGAGGAAGCCAGAAGTGGTGAGTCCCATGAGCTGGAGTTGCAGGCAGTTGTGAGTCACCTGATGTCATTGATGGGAATTGAGCTCAGCTCCTCTAGAAGAGCAGTATATGCTTTTAACCATGGAGCAACCTCTCCACACCCATTTCTCCTTTTGTGTGTGCTGTACATAGATGATCCTTCATTTCTTAACGACAGGATTCTAAAAAAGGGTCATCTCATTTTTCCCCTTTGCCTTCTGCACTTTTGTTCAGGCACACCAAGGAAATAATACCTATCAATACATGGTGACCAAATAATTAACTCGTGCATATATTATTTTTAATCATCTATGAAACAGTATTCAGAATTAGAAACAGTGCTTGTACTGTTTTGTGAAACAATTCATTCAAGCGTCACATCCATGATGTCTGCCCCTTTCATTATTCCTACCATTTTCTGGGTTATCTAACAAGTAATACTCTGAAATATGTTGTATAAACAGCTATCTAAGATGTTTGAGGTTCAGGTGTTTAAAATCATATAGAAGTTTCTATATGGAGCTTCTGCTGGAAATTGTATCCTGAGACCCAAATAATCATTAGTAGGTGGTGACCCACCTGACGGTATATGTGCCTATGTGTGTTTTTATATTATGAATGCTTATGATCTCCATAATAAGTTATTTTCTAACATGGTCTTCAAGAGACTTGTTAGCAGGAACATTCTGTTATAATGTTTTAAATGAGAAAGTGTTTTAAATCTGACTCTTTTGGTTTTCTGAAACACTGCATCTGTACACCTGAGAAAAGCAAATTTAAAGAAAGAAGAGTTTATTTGGGCCCACAGTTCAAAAGTCCAGTCCAGTCCATCATGGCAGAGAAATCTTGATAGCAGGGGTTTAAGGCAGCTGCTCACGTTCCATCAGCAGTCAGGAAGCAGAGGAAAGGAGAGCTTGTGTTTAGATAGCTTTAGCCTGTTTATGGTCCCAAGCCCAGAGAATGCTGCCATCCACTTTTTATGGTGGGTCTTCCCACCTCAGTTAACCTAATCAAGATAATCCCTCACAGGTTCCCAGAGAATTGTCTCCTAGGTTATTCTAGATCCTCTCAAACAATCTTGAGGTGTGTGTTTGTGTGTGTATGTACCTGAGTGTGCAAGTGCAGACGCACTCATGGAGGGCTGAGGACAATCTTGCATGTTACTCTGCTGCATACACCAGGCTAGCTGGTCCAAGGCTTCCCGAGAATATCCTGTCTCTTCCTCCCATCTCACTGTAGAAGTGCTGGACTATAGATGCACACTACTGCACCTGGCTTTATTTGGGTTCTGGGGTTTAATCTCGGGTCCTCATGCTTATGCAGCAAGTACTTTCCCACTGAGCTATCTCCCTACCCCTTTATGATCAGTATTAACCATCACAGTAATTGCCACGTAATTCAGGAAGCCTCTAAAGATAAAGCAGTGCTATCGTTTCTGATTTACACTTTGGGAGGTCCTGCCTTTATATTTAGAATGATCTGTTGCTTAACTATTTACAGGTTTAATAACTTTTACTAATATTAAAAGTAGGAGAACTTTCTTCTTATTATGTAGACCTCAGCGACTGGATAAATAGTGGCATTTCCCACTTGAGTATCTTATTTCTCTGTAATTTTCTTTACTTAGATCCCTTTGATTTGAATCATAATCTTGGCGCTGGATTATCAAGGAAAAGTAAGTTACTTTGTTTGTGTAAACTTCAGTGAAATTTCTTTTTCTCCTAATATATTTAATTAAACTCTTATTTTTTTCATCATAGTGACAAATTTTATAATGAAAGCTTTTATCAATGGTAGAAGAGTATTTGGAATCCCAGTCAAAGGATTTCCAAAGTACTATCCCTCAAAAATGGTAAGTTTCTATTAGAAATGCCAGAAAGCAATTTGTGGTCGGGGGTTGGAGGGGAGACAGGGTCTCCCTGTAGCCCCAGCTGGCCAGGAACTTGCTATGTAGAACAGGCTGGCCTTGATCTCAGAGATCTGCTGCTTCTGCTTCCCGGGAGTGCTGGGATTAAAGGTATGTACCACCACACCTGACCAGAAAGCAATTTTTAAGCACTGAATGTATATGCAGCATGAAATGGTTAAATCAAGCTAATCAACATATCTGTTACTTCATACGTCATTTTTGTAGTGTGGCATTTGAAATTTAGTTATTTAGAAGTATATGCTGTTACTGACTACTGTACAGTAGGTCTCAACCCATTACTTCTCTAGCAAAGGCTTTGTACCCTTTGAAAGCAGTTTCCCTTTCCCTTCCCCTCCCAGTGAGGACTACAATGCATCTCAGCATATGGCCATACCATATAAGCGCACACTCTAGGTATTACTGTGGTGTAGGTGTATAGACCAGATACCACTTGCTGCTTTTGTTGAAATGAGTATTTTGATTCAAAGGGTGTGGGGATGGGATTCTACATTTCCAACAAGCCAATCCTGAATAAACTCCAAAGCCAATCCTGTTGCTCTTTCTTGAGAAACCACAACAAAACAGACCAACACCACTAACACAGAGCCTTTTACTTTCCTTTAATATGTAACTTGTACAATACACAATTATGTTTCTCAGTTCACTATAGTCTAGCCTTTTTGTCTCATGAAGCCCTCTTCGTGGCTTTAGCTCCTTCCATGACATGCTGAGTCTCAGTTGTGGGCATTTTATAAGTGTGCTTCAGCCTTCAAGATTGGGCTTGACGGCTGCTTTGCCTCAGTAAAAGGAATTAAAAAAATAGGGTTTAGGTAAATCTATCTTCAATTATGTTTGGAATAAGCTGTACAAATATCCTAATATGGAGAAATGTCCAGTTAATTTTGAGCTTTGATTACCTATTAGCAGTCCAGGCTTTTTATTTAGCTGTATTCTTCTAGGAATACTTTTTTGATCCAGATGTACTAACTGAAGGAGAACTGGCCCCAAATGACAGATGCTGCCGAATTTGTGGAAAGATTGGACACTTCATGAAGGACTGCCCCATGAGAAGAAAGTAAGTAAATGTTCAGAAGGGTGTTTTTACTTGCTTTTTGTACCAGTTCGGTCTTTTTTGAGGCAGGGTCTCCCTATAGCCCCTACTGGTCTGGAACTCACTATGTAGAACAGCCTGGCTTCATCTTACAGAGATCCACCTGCCTCTGCCTCCTGAGTTTCTAGATTGAAGGTCGTGCCACCATACCCAGCTTTGTGCCAGTTTTTAAAATGTGTTTCTATTAAAACAGAAAAAATAAACTTGTATGAAATCTAGCAATTTTCAAATAACTTTTAAGTATTTTTTTTTTAAAAAAAAGAAAATGAAGTGATCGAAGGGTGGCTTTAGGTGCAGCTGATGAGGGCTTCAGGCAGAGATGACAATCTTCTAGGCCTGATGCTCTTTCCTCATTTTGGCCATGACTTTTGTTTTAATTAGCCTTACTACCAGGGTCAGAAAGAAAGAGGAAACTAAGATTCTTTCCAAAACAGTGAAAATTTCAGAATCATTTCAGCCAATGAATAGCAGTCAAGTGTGTTTCTCCAGAGTCCATGTACACCTCTGATGTATAACAGCTGGGGTATAGCTGGGTTTTAGACTTGCTGATAGTCTACTAAATTTAGGGCTCTTTGGGACCCTTCATCAGTGCTTGGCTGAACCCTTAGGAATGGCTTTCAGTAGATCAGGTACTTGTTCTGGGCACCGTGCTTTCTCCTGATGCCAGTGGGAGGAAAGGGGACCATTTTTCATTGCCTGCTTGGGTCATTGTTCTCCTGAGTGATTGTGGTGGTGTTTTTAACTGGGCAGTTCTGTTCTTATTTCAAAATAGGTTTAGCAAAGTAGGTCATGATTTGGAATTTGAGAAGTACCTTTAGTACTTCTTTATTCAAGTTAATAGTGATCATATAAAGCAAGAAAGAAACGATCTCAACACCTAGGGATGGTGGCTTTCACCTGTACTTCCTTCATGTAGGTGGCTGAGGCAGGAGAATCATGAGTTCAGGGCTAGCCTTGGCTACAAATGGAATCTGAAGTCAGATGAGTCACATGAGTCTTTGTTTCAAAAATAAAATAAACAGGACTGGAGAGGTGGCTGCAAGATAGACCCTGGTTCATTTCCTAGCACCTGCATCAGGCAGTTCACAACCACCTGGAGCTCCAGTTCTGGGGCCTCTGGGCACCTGCACACACATGGTACATGTACATACATTCAGGCATGCACATATACAATAAAATAACTTTTAATAAATTAAAATTATTTAGACATTTTAGCAAAATAAACTTGTATTGTTACAATTTCCCTTGCAAAAGTAAAATCTTGCATTTCAAGTTTTCAGTGCCTGGTTAAAAAAAACTACCATACTGAAAAAGCTTATCACTAAATCCCACATGCATGACTTGAGCTTCATTACATTCGTATCAAAGAGGCATTGAACTAGTAAAAACTAGTTTTATAGGACTAGAGCAATTTTGAAAATGGAAAAAGGCAATACCTTAATCCTTGATGGATAGTCAGCCTTCTGCACGTATGGACTCTATTCATAGATTCACCCAGCTGCAGATCAGAGCATTTGGAAACTATTGCATCTGTGTAGAACATATACAGACTTGATTTTTGTTTATTATCCCCCCTACTTCACAGTATAACTATCAGAGATGATTTAAAGCATATGAGAGGGTGTGCGTGGGTTATGCAATATCACAGTTTTCTTTTTTTAAATATTCTTTTCATTTTATGTGTGTATTGCCTGCATGTATGTAAGGACACTTGTGTCATGCAGTGCCCATGGAGGTCAGAAAAAGGGGTCAGATCCCCTGGAACTAGAGTTACAAATGGTTGTTAGCAGCCACATAGGTGCTGGGATTCTCACCTGGATCCTCTGCACGAGCAGTCAGTGCTCTTAACTGCTGAGCCATGCCAGCAACCCCTCCATACAGTTTTGTATAAGAGACTTGAGCATCTATGGGTTTGGGTTTCTGTAGGATTCTGGCACCAATCCCCTGTATCCCCTGGATACTGAAGGGTAATAGTAACTTCTTCATAAAGAGGGTAGATTTAAGTTTGTTAAATTCTAGGATCCCTTTTTGATACTTTTTATTCCTGATTATCTCTAATCCCAAATATATATTGATATTTTACATTTCTGGTGAGACTTTTTTTCCTACTGGTATTATATCTTCAACAGAGTGAGGCGACGGCGAGATCAGGAAGATAATCTAAACCAAAGATACCCCGACAACAAGGAAAAAAGAAGCAAAGAGGACAAAGAAATTCAAAACAAGTACACAGAAAGAGAGGTGTCAGCAAAAGAAGAAAAGCCGGTGCAGTGTGCAGCCCAGAAAGCCAAGCCAGCAAGGGCAGCTGTTGAGCTGGGGAGGGAGAAGATACTCCGGACACCGGTGGAGAAATGGAAGAGACAGGATGACAAAGACTTACGAGAAAAGCGTTGTTTCATTTGTGGACGAGAAGGACACATTAAAAAGGAATGCCCACAGTTTAAAGGCTCTCCAGGTATGAGCACCTCTTCAGATACCTTGATGTTTATGCTAACATCACAAGAGAAATCTCCTTTTTAGAAATATTTCCTATTTTATATTAGTTTCTTTAAGAAGTATATTTGCTCAAATAAGATTGTTTTAAGGGAGTGAAATCTCCCCCTATACACACACCTTTATTTCTCTTTCTCTGTATGTCTTCTGTTTATTCCTAGATTTAATTAGTCTTATTGAAAGTCTAAGAGTATCAATGAAATGAAAGTCTGCTAATATTTAATACCTATAAATGTAGTCTCAGTAACCAGTAACAAGCTACAAGTAGAACTGTGCTGTTCAGAATGTGTACTGGTGAAATGAAAGCACCGCCTAGGCACTAGGTAAGGTAGTCCTAAAGTTATCTCAGGACGCCACACTGTCCTGTTGAGCCCCCTGTGTTTTGTTTCCGTACTCCTACACAGGTGAGTAAAGAGGGGTCATTCACACACTGTGCAACAGCAGTGATCGTATCTGCAGCAGAGGGTTGTAGAAGGGTTCATCCATAGTGTATCATTTGAATGCCTTTTATCAGTCATGATAGCTGTCCTTAGGGAATGAAGGAAAACGTGTCTTATCGCAGTTCAGAGTCACCCACATACTGTTTTGAACACAAACCTGATTTGAGTACAGGAGTATACATCTGTAGTCCCAGCTACCTTGGAAGGCTGGAGCAGGAAGGGCACATTAGCCAAGGAGAGTGAGACTAGCTTGGGCAACATAGTGCAACTTTGTTTTGAACAAAAGAAATTGCTCACAAATCTTACCTCTTTATGAGTTGGTCTTTTTTACTGAATAGTCTTAAGTGTCTGTCATGGGCAGTTTTTGTTGTTGTTTTTGGTTTTTGGTTTTTTGTTTGTTTGTTTTTCAAGATAGGATCTTCCTGTAGCTCCAGCTGGTCTGCAACTCACTGTGTAGACCAGGCTGGCCTCTATCTCGCAGAGATCCACCTGCCTCTGCTTCCCAAGCACTGGAATTAAAAGTGTACGCCACCATGTCTAGCACAGGCAGGGTTTTAACTGACTGTTAAAGAGTTAGGGTACCTTCAACATGTCTACTAAGTTTTGATCTACAAAGCAATTCATATCCTTTTACTTTGGTTCATAGAATAAGCCTGGGTGAAATTTGACAAGGCTAGAACTATGAGAAAGTCTAGAGAGTAATTTTTAAATATCCCTGTTTCTGTCCTTAGCTGCATGTTTATTGACAGTGCTAAAGTCGGGGCTACTTCACAATGTACTTATGATACTCCAGTTTAGAGCACTGGTGCCTCTCTTCCATATATATCAAATTCAGCAGTGCACATTATCTTGGTTTTTAAGACAAAAAATTTTTAGATCTCCCATGCTTCTTTAAATTTTTTTAAGTTGGGTATTTTTGAGACAGAGACTCAGTATGTAGCCAATGCTGGTCTAGAATTTGTAGTCCAAGCTGGCTTCAAACTCAAAATCCTCCTGCCTCAGGCTCCCAAGTTCTAGGGTGATACACCCAGCTCATATTTATTTATTTAAAGGAGCTTTTTGTGGAAAGAAATTATTTTAAGCATTTTTATTTATTTTAAACAAAGCTGAAAAATTTATAGGTGATAGAGCTTTGGCTACCTTAAATAGGCTAAATTAGCCTTGTCCCTCTTTTAAGGAACACAGAACTTGATGTTTACTTTGATTTTTCTTTACAGGAATAAATTTAATTTAAAGAGATTAAAATAATGACATTTGCTAGTGTTCAGTGAACATTTCCTAAGTGTCACTCAGGCATCACACTGTAGTTATAGTCTCATCTAACTTAATTGGCAGCCTCCTTAAATTTAGTGTAAGAAGCTAAACTGTAGATAAAATTTAACATAGTTTTATCAAAATTATTTTTTAGACTATCACTGATTAAAAACTCAAGGTCTGTATTTACAAACAGCATGAAGTTGATTATCACTTTTCTCCTACAACAAAGTAGGGAAGATTCCCCAGCTCTGGTGTACATCTTTTGTCTAGTAGCATGTTTTACGTTAACACAGGTCTCAAAAGTGGGGACTAAGGAGATAGCCCAGTAAAGTGCTTCAGGTTTCCCAAGTGTAATCACCAGTTGCACATAAAAAGCTGGGCATGATGGTTCACTCTTTTTATCCCAGTTCCTGGTGGAAGTGGAGTCAGGCAGGCCCAGGCCTCAGAAGCCAGCCAGCGTAATCTAACTGAGGACCCCTTCCCTCAATGGGCGTAAATGAGAGATTCTCAAAAAAACAGCCCTCAAGGAATGAACTTTGAGGCTCACCTCTAGACTCCACACACACGCATGCACACCCACTGCCATGTTCTTGCACACAGTTGCGAGTACGAATATGAAAGCAGTGATTCTGGCAGCCTGACAGGACAGCATCAAATCAGAGAAGGAGACCCTGGCTAGCAGAGATTAGGAGACCCACAGAAAAGCCCTGGTCTAGAAACCTGGTTACTTCAAAATGCAATACTTATACATTAAATTAAGAATCACACTCTAAAAGAGAGGGAAGGGAGGAGTGGGGTTAGGGTATGGCAAATTGTATTTGGTAGTAGTTAAAAGTAATCTGTGTCTTCCAACCCAAAAGTTACACTACTCCCTGTGATTTCTTCTGATGTAGTGTTGTGTGCAGTTTGTCACATCAGCAGAAAATCTTTGTTTAAACATTTGAGAACAAGGCTATTGCTTTTCATTTAAAATGGGAACGAAAAGTGCTACTTTCTTTCCTTAGGTTTGACTAAGTCAGATTATGTGTTTGGACACCCTTCACGTAGCCCTTTGAGACCAACTGATACCTTTGTTCAGGTAAATCCAGCTCAAAACTGAAAGAGAAGCGACTCTGTCCTGTTCAGACACCTCCTGAGTATTTGCAGCTATGTACTGGGCGCTCCTAACTGGCCTGCCTCCTTCCCGCCTCTGGGCCTCCTGCACTGTGTGGTGGGGCCTGCTGGGCCATGCACTGTGGCGCTGCTAAATTACTTTTGTGTACATTTCTGCCTTTCCAGCTAACTTGGATAATTCTGCCACCCGCGTGCCCAATTTCAGCTCTTCTTGGATATGGCTTAAGGCTGTTTCTCATGCCTTTCTTTTCAGTTTGTGTAAACCAGTCTATTTCATTTTTTTAGGCAGTGCTTTTACATGAAGACAAAAAGAAACAAAAAACAACTGTAGTTTTGGGTCCCCAGTCAGGTATGTGGTTTTCAAAAGAACAAATGTGTGTTAATTTACTTTCTGCGTATTTTACCACGTGCCTTTTGAGATTCTTCCTCTATTGAGTGATTTTTGACAGGGAGGGGTCAGTGGAATCCCTCTAGGGAACTTTCAGAAATCTTCTGCCCTACCCCTACCTTTGTTTTCTAAATCTAATTGTTTAGTGGGTGAGTGTAGGCCTGTGTTGTTTTCAGATGTTCCCGGGGACTTTACCTCTCCTGAGAAAGAACTGTCAACCCTGTCAACCCGGATAATGCATTCCTCTCTGGGCTTTTTGTAACTGCTGTGAAGTTGCTAGCGTCTTGCCTGCGCTATACTTTCCTCAGAGATTGTTTGCCATGTAACAAAATAAGGAAAGGAAGTAATAGCCTGAACCCTCACTCCACTACCTGTCAACTGTTTTATTATGTACGCCTTCAGTAAACGTTAACTGCAGGCATTGGCCTCAACTATGTATACCCCAGTGAGTAGCAAAGCCCCTTCTCTCCATTCTTGCCAGGAGGGATAGACAATAAACAGAAATAATAATAAAGAGTAATCATATGACAACAGATACTTAGAAGAAATTTGATGCAGAGAAAGGAGATGTCGAATATGGAAGTGTCCTCTCTAATAAAATACTTAAGCCAAGTCCAAAGAATCACATGAAATAAAGGTACAGGCGGGGGGACTGTTAGAGCAACAGTTCTCATTCTTATTCTTCAGGAGTCACCGAAAGAGTCTGTGACAGGAGTGGTATGGAGAGCAGGAAAGCACTCAAAGGAGAGGTCAGTGAATAAGATGGATCTAGCTTCTGGAAGCTCCTTCAGCAGTGGTGGAGGGAGTGGGATAAGTGAGATGAGAAGCTCTTGGAGACTTTTGAGCCAAGGAGTGATACTATTTGAAGTCTGTTGTAAAAGGCTCATTTAAGGGTTCCTGCATGAAGGCTAGGATGGAACCTTTGAAACTGATTAGGGGGTTACCAAAGTAGTTCAGAAGAGATGATGCCTCAGATTTGGGTGGAGAGTGTAGAAATGGAAGACAGATCAAGTTCTGGATATTCTGAATAGCACCAACAAATTCCATGCGCAGATGGTAACCTATGAGAAAAAAGAGTAAAAATGAATGGGGGTGGGTACCACAGTCTTTGTCCTGAGTACTGGAAAACTAGAAGTGGACCTTAACCATGCTGGGGAAGATTTGGGGGAGAAATAGAAGTCGGCTTAAAGTGGCTTAAGGTAGCTGTGGAGTCCTGGATAGAGATGTCAAGTGGCTGAGTGAATATGTGAGCCAAACATTTATTTAGTCCAGGCTATAGCAAGGATTGTATTGCCAGTGTGTAGATAGCATTTTAAGCCCTTGTCTGAGGGAGACCTAGCAGTAAATGTACATGGAAGAGTTAGACTCTAGAAATAGACAAACAGAAGAAAGTGCTTTGTGAACTGGTGCCTACAGCTCTGAGGCGTGTGGACTGGGTGAGCATTTTACTTGGCAATATGAAGGTCATTGAATAATTTGCAAAGAACTCCTTTTTTAGGTATGATGGAAAGAAAAACATGGCTGCAAGGAAGTTGAGAACTGTGTGGAGAGGAATGGGAGCCTAGCCTAGACTGTGGTACCCAAACCAGAGCCCCTTCCCTCCAGGCCCCTGGAGGACTGCTGAAGGGAACATGGGTGGACCATGAGAACCTGAACGTCTTCTCCTGGTATTTCAAGTTACTTCTGAGTCTTGAAAAGGAAAGGACAAAACTGAAGCAAAGAAAACAAAAAGTGACATTAACTTTTACTGATCAACTTTTCCCAACATTTTTTAGTAGGAGAAAATAAAACTGTAAAATATGATATAAGAAAACTGAGTCTTAGCCATCAGCTACTATTACTAACTTGGCTTAATCAGTCAATCAGAGTCCCTCTTTAGTTTGTTCCTTAAAAATGGGGTTAAAGAAGGGAAATTAAGCAGATGGATCATGGAAGTTCAATTTTTTGGAAATATTAATATTTACTTGGTATAACCTACATGCTTGTATGCAATGTAGAAAGCAGCCTGCACAATTGGACCCCTATCCATGGTTTTACCTTCTGTAGTTCCAGTTACTCCTCACCAACTAGTGTTTGAAAATGGAGTATAGTACAATACAGTAAGATATTTTGTTGTTGTTTTGTATTGAGACAGGGTCTTCCTGTAGCCCCAACTAGCCTGGAACTTGCTATATAGACCAGGCTGGCCCCTATCTCACAGAGATCCACCTGCCTCTGCCTCCCAAGTGTTGAGATTTAAGTGTGAGCCACCATGCCCTACTTTTTTTAGAGATCACACTCAGAAACCTTTTATTACAATATGTTGTTTTATTTAATTAGCTAATCTCCATTTATCAATTAAGTGATCACATTTGTGGATGTTATAAGAACAAGCACAGTGCTATCTGCAGTTTCAAGTATCCAATGCGAGCCTTGGAAAACACCCCCCAGGGTCCTGCATCTTATTGCTAGGAGCAGAGTGTGGTAGCTCAGAGAAGGCCTGTGTTACACTGCGGAGTCTTAGATGTTTCTTTGCGTTATTGTCAGTTGTTGAGGTCGCAGATTACAATGGACTCCTGGCTCCTCAGAGAGTGAGCTCTTCTGTCCTGGTCTTTCTAGCCTCATCTGCCAAAGCAAGGACACTGTGATTCATGCTCTGGGAAAGCTGAGGAAGCCTCAGGCTAGGAGTTGGTCTGTTTAATTTATCTCTACTTTGAATGCTATGAGTGGGAGGAAATAATGGTGGAACTATTTCAACTAAGAGTCGAATTAATGCATTCAACTCTTTAGGTACCTAGAGGAGTTATCTCAGGTGTTTTCAATGACCTGAAGAGTTAGGCATTTAAAAATTTATAGTTTTTGTTTAATGTATAAGGGAAACAATAAAATGATAACAGATCATTAGATAACCCCCTGTGCTGGATAGCTTTAGTGTCAACTTGACACACCTGGGTTGAGGGAGCCTCAATTGGGAAATTGCTTTTATTGGACTGGCCCATGGCCATATCTGAGGGGCATCTTCTTGATGAGTGATGTGGGAGGGCCCAGCCCACTGTGGGTGGTGCCACCCTTGGGCAGGTGGGTCTGCGTTGCATAAGCAAGCAGGCTGAGTAGGGGCCAGGGGAGCAAGCCAGTAAGCAGCATTCCTCCATGGCCTGTACTCCACCTTCCAGGTTCCTGCCCTGAGTTCCTACCTTGGGCTCCCAGATGAACTGTGACCCAGGATATGTAAGCTAAATAAACCTTTTCCTCCCCAAGTTGGTAGTGGTTAGAGTATTTTGTCACAGCAATGAGGAGACAAACTAAGACACCCCCCACCCCCCACCTCCACCCCCTCACGCCCTTTTGAGATTAGGGTCTCATGTAGCCCAAAATAAAATATCAGATCATTAGCTACCTCCCCCCCACCCCCTTTTGAGATTAGGGTCTCATGTAGCCCAGGCTGGCCTTGAACTTGGCCTATGGCTAAGGATAAGCTGGATTGTGCAGTGTTTCACGTGTGGTAGGCAAACTCTCCATCATGTAAGCTATATCCCCAGCCCTGGTATCAGATCTCTTACAAACAAAACTTAAAGGAAATGGGAGTTGAGGTTGGTATGTAGAATAAGGCCAGATGATTTAAAAGGAAAGAAACTGAAGTCTTCAAAGATGTGCTATACTTAGACCCAAAGGGGAATTGCATAAAAGATAAGCAGGCAAGAGACTTATGAGAAAACATGAGAGCAGGAGTTCCTAGGGACATTTTTAATTGTTCTCCATGGAATGCATGCATTTCAAAATAAGAGTTCTGCTGTGGACAGAAGTGAAGGGAGTGGGGCCCACTGTTAAGCAGGCTGATGGAGGGTGGGTGAGGGACCTGGGTTGTATTACAGCCACACTTACTTCCAGAATGGCCCCAGCAGATGGAAGGATGTGGGAAACATCACCAGTGGATGGATCTTTTTTTCCCATAGATTTGAGAATTTGAAGATCACAGGCATACCATGCATAAACAAACCTAAAGAATGTTATCTTAATGAACTTTGACCCTAAGCAGATATTCCCAAAACATTAGTAGGAAAAATACTGATCTTTGCATTGGTCCATTTGTTCATGATGTCAAACAGAAAAGAGAACATAGTGTTTAAGAGCATCTGTTCCACAGTCATGTTGCATGGATGTGATTTCTACTTCAGGGTGTTGGAAAACCTGTGTCCTGTACACACCACAGGTATCCATCCTATCTTTTTTTAAAATTCTATTTATTATTTTTATTTTATGTGTATGAGTGTATTGCCTGCATATATGTAAGTGCGCCCATGTCATGCAATGCCTGCGAGGACAGAAGAGGCCATCAGATCCCCTGGAACTGGAGTTATGGACAGTTGTTGGTTGCCATGTGGGTTCTGGGATTCAACTTGGGTATTCTGCAAGAACAGCCAGTGTTCTTAACCACTGAGCCATCTCTCCAGCCCCAGGAATCCCATCTTTAAAAGGGGGAGGTATAGTAGCTGACTGGTCAAAGGACATTGAGAATTCCATGTGCAAAATAGGGTGAACACCTGCTTGTTAGTACGGAGAAAAGGTTCTAGGTGGTGATGATTACATTGGTACATTATTCTTGTGGCATCTCCAAGTCTACATGTACCAGTCTACATGCTAAAGACTCTGTACATCTTGAAAGTGGAGTTTTACTATACTGTTGCAAATTTTTTTTAAGTAGGAGAAAAATACAGATGCTAGATATGTACCTAGAAATGGTATGACCAATTAACATTTATTTAGGTATAAAAAAAAGTTATTACCTATTCTTCTGGGTAAAAAATCCTACATATTTATAAATCATTAGAGCAACTGAAAATTTTAATAAATTATTATGAGGAAATTTGATTACAAATTCTTTATACAAGAGAAATTTATAGATGGCTAAAATTTTTCCTTTCTGATAAAATTAACTCCTTAAATAAGTATATGGAAGCTGTCAAATTTATTTGTCATGTGTTTATATAAATTATAGTATGAAATGTGTCTCAGTTGTTAAGAATTAGTTTTCCTTGAACTCCTCTTTTCCATAGACTAAGTATATCAGTGACCCACTGGAAGTTTCCTTAAAGAGCACATTAACTGTGTTGACCTTGGGCACCAGGTTCATTCTCACTTTCAGATGTCTCAACAAATTGGGGAGTGGGGGAATTATACCATCTAGTTCATGGGGTTACTGCAGAGGTGAGAGTCTCTGTCAAGTCCTGTTTTTTTTTTTTTTTTTTTTTTTTTTTTGCTTTTTCCAGACCTTTCACTAGGCTTCATAGTTCTGACTCCCAAAGGATAGTAGTAGACAAAATGCCCAGAAATTTCCTTGCTTTTTACATGTCCTGTGCTCCCCCAGCACAACACTTAGATATTATCAGGAATAGACAAGACTTCATGCTTTCATGGTCAGGAGCTTCAGAGGCAGAAACTTGAATTTGAAATCCAGCCAAACTATATACTAGTTATGAAGCCTTTCAAGTTCTCCAACCTCTGTGCCTCAGTTTCCTTATCCACAAATTGGGTCTGACACCCTATAAGACTATGGTAAAGACTAACTTGATACAGAAACTCTATAGCAGAGTCTCTGACTCATCTCAGCTCTCAGATTACTGCTGCCCTATATAGATACTGTTAACAGAAAAGTTCCCCACCTTGCTATAATTTATCTCTTCTTACACTTTTTCTTTCACTTTGTGTGTGTGTGTGTGTGTGTGTGTGTGTGTGTGTGTGTGTGTTGTGTGTGTGTGCACGGCACCCATGT